CCCAAACCATTCGATGATTCTATGATAAAAATGAGAAAGGATCAATAAAATCTTCCTTTTGATGCCTGAAATATTGAGATGCTGAAGCAATCGGGCCGCTTGCAACCCAAAAATACTAGCTGAAGGCAGCGATTTCATAATTGCTTCTGTGAGCTTTGCTGCTTCTGCACCTTTTTTTTTTTTCCATCTATTTTTTTTCATCTTTTTTCCTTTTTTTATTTTCTTTTCAGAGAAACGCCTGTCTCGAGGCATTTCCCACGCCAGCTCAACCATCGTCTCCCTCGCCCGTTCCCACGTCTCCAGCAACGGCAGCAGCGAACATCTGCTGGAAATGCCCATCTGTACCTTCCAGCTGCCCGACCTCACTGTCTACACCGAGGATTTCCGCAGCTTCATCGAGCGAGACCTCATTGAGCAGTCGATGCTGGTGGCACTGGAGCAGGCTGGTGAGTGATTTGTTTTGGGTTTTTAATGGTAAAAAGTGGCATTTTGCAGCGGTACCGATGAGAACAAAGCCTGAGGCCTCGGAGAAGCGAGCCCGTCGCCAGGACGCGTGTCTGGTGGGTATTATTTCATCCCTTTTTATAGCGTGGTGCAAGAGTTGAGTAAGAGTCTGCTCCTCTTTGCCTGCAGACACTGAATGTAAATAAATTGTGGGTGTCGTCATCGCTCAGGCAGCTGAATGGTAACGCTCAGAAAAAAAAAAACAAGTTGAATTATCTCACTCCCTGAGCTTCCCCGTGCCCTGCACCATCCCATCAGCCTTACTGGGAGAAGAGGGAGGAAAAGAAATTCCTCCATAACACAAACAGTAGCTCGTCACCGCTGACAAATATTCAAAGTGCTTACAAACATTTTAAATTGATGATGTGTTTTATGTGCTGCTTCAACGCAGGAAAACTCCTCTCCCGGCTTTCTGTTTGCCTGGAGAGGAACCACCTTGTGAGCACAGATGGGTTTGTTTTCCAACATGCTCTTTTCCTCCTGAATAGTTGCTAAGTGATCTGTAAATAAGATTTAGCTGGTGAATGAACAGGACCTTCGTGCTGGCAGAGAAAAACTAACGCACATTACCAGGACAGCTTCGGTGGGGTGGGGGCAGAAGGACAGTGGGGAAAGATCTCAAGAACCTTTCCACCTCTCCTTTGTTTCTGTCGCCAAGGCACGTACCTAGAAAACTATTCCTTCGGAGATAACATACATTCTTCATGTCAAATTTTAGCCCTCTCCTGCTCAAGTGTTCCTGTAATAAATATTCTCATGTTTTGGAAATGAACACTTGATCCCAGCGATCTCGTTACAGCGACGTTGCGGTCGGTCGATGGCGAAGCCGTCGTGTCTCATGCAAATAAAACATCCTGATCGACGCCTGAGCGGAGTCGGGGGGTATTGGGTTGCTCTGTTTCAGCACAAACGCTGAGGGAGGGAATTTGGGGGTGACTATTTTTTTCATCTGGGTGCTGGAGATGCTTCCTGGCACACTGAGACATTAAGTAATTGATTTTTAGAAAGCGCCTTTCGAAGATTCGAGTGTGGGTTTGTTATAAATGGGTGTTGATCTTTAATAAAGGCCTGTTAGGTTTTGAGCAGGTGCTGTCATCCACAGTGACTCCCCTTACTGATTTAGTTTATGCCATCCTTAGGGGATTAAGCAAATATTTTATAGACCAATAAATGTTCAGATACGCTTCTCCTTCTATCCAGAGATCCCTTTACCCCGCTGTGGCAGAATAAACGTGCTTTAAGGTGGCTGTAAATTGTAATGACATCCTCTTGGAAAGCTTTTAACATGCTCAGAGTTGCATGAAAAGCTCGTGGTGGAGCTGAAAATTTGGTCCTTGCCACAACCTGGGCCTTCTTTGTTGGAAACCAAAATGGATTTAAGCCTTTGCTCAGTATTTTGAAGATGCAGAGTGTTTTTTCTCATTGCACACAGTCAGCAGTGCCTTGCCCAAGGCTATTCCAAAAATAAAAATCAGGAAGAACTGAAAGAAACCCCTGGATGTGATGGCTTTGCCTTGGCTCTGAGGTCTTTCTCGCCGAGGTCCAGGACACGGTGCCAAGCACACCTTTAAAAATCCCTCAGCATATTGGCAAGAAACCTCCTGCTTCACACTTCAGACTAATATTTAATAAACCTCTGTGGGTGGACTGTGAAAAACTGCTGAGTTAAGAGATGAGAGCGCTTGCTTTGCTGCGGGAACGGCATCGAAGGAACGGCAAATGGGTTCCTCGTTCTTCGGCTGTAAGTGTCCCGCGTCGCCGAGCGGGCAATCAAAGAAATGGGTGCCTTGGTAATGCATCACCCAGGTTTTGAGAAGCTTTTCAGCCTGGGTTTAGCCTGTGCATGAGCAGAGGCACGTGTGAACACGTACCCTCCTCTGTCTTACCTACCTAGAGTCTGACTTGCAAATATTTTCACCCGTAAGTCATTGACCGGACAGGTTCCCTTAGCAAGAGAGACAAGCTCATGGCTGGGTCCACCTTCCTTCAAAAGACAAGTGAAAAGTTCACAGAGGTTGGGTGCTGGGCTCTGCTGGATCACTGCCTGCTGTGTTGCCTTCGTGGACCATGTTGCCTTCATGGATCACTGCTGCGTTGCCTTCATCCCCTCCGCTGTCACCCTCAGCAGCGAGACCGTGCTGCGGAGAGAGGTGTCCCTGACGTGGGCAGCATCGTTTCGCTGGGCAGAGCCATAGCAGGACTGGTTGGAAGCTTTTGATTCCAATCCTTCCTGAAACATGGGAGAAAGTAGCTACTGATGCGTAAATGCACTCGAACAAGATCTTGTTGCTGCTGGATCCTGAAACAAAAATGTTATCTGCGGGTGTTTTTGTCAAAGAGATGAGCTCCAGATGAGATAAGGTGACTAGAGCCGAATTATCTCATGGAAGATACGTGAATCGAGCTTGCTTCAGTGGAGATGCTGCTTTTTCTAGCCTCTCTCCTTTTTTTGAGTCTCTTTTTTAACCCATTTCTAGATGGTGATCCTGCTCCTTCACCTCCACTCA